GTCTTGTCCGCGTCTGTGCCCTGCACAGACTCGCCACTTGTAGTCGCCTCAGTTCCAGACTGTGCGTGGCTCTTTGGGATGTCAGTGTTCGGCACTGACACTTCGTGTGTGAGCGCATCAGGCCCAGTCTGTGCGTGATGCTTTTCAGTATCGATGCCGGGCCGGCTTGCGCGTGAGTCTTCTCGGTGTCTGTGCCCCGCACAGACACATTGTTCTTGGTCGCAGCAGGTGTCGCCTGCTCGTGGTTCTTCACAGTGTCAGTGCCCGGCACCGACACGTCGCTTTGTCGTGTGCGGGCTCTCGCTCTCGCACGTGTCATCGCAGCTGATAGGTCCGTATCAGCTGTCTTCTGCGGTTGTTCGGACGCAACCGTAGATCCTCCCCCACTTAAGGACCTCCCCCACTTAAGGAGGAAGCCACCGCCCCGAGTGTGCTCGGAAGGCGTGGATGCCGCATGGCGTTCGCGAAGAACGGTGTATGCCCAATCGAGGCATGCACCGCGTTGTTGATGGCGAACTCTGCCATCGGCAAGTAGTCGCTCCAGTTGTGGAACGACTGGGCGTAGCTTTTCAACAAGTCCATGAGCACGCGGTTCACGCGCTCGGTTTGCCCGTCCGTCTGCGAATGATCTGCAGTCGACATAGAGAACCGTGTTCCAAGAAGTGTGAACACTTCTTGCCAGAAACGCGCCGTGAAGCGCGGGTCGCGGTCCGACACAAACGCGTTGGGCATCCTGGCGTTTGAACACCATGTCGACGAACAGACGTGCCGTCTGTACGGAGGTCACCTCCGCTGCGACAGCAGCGTGATGCACCATCTTGCTGAAGCGGTCCACAAAGAGTCTTCCGCCTGGAATCGCGCGGAAGACCAAATACGAAGTCCATCGCAATTGAACTCCCAACCCTCCGACGGAGTCGGCAGTGGTTGCAGAGGAGCCTGCGAGTGAGGCGCAGGCTTCACTCACTGGCAAACATCGCAAGTACGAACGTACTTGCGCGCCCACTTGTACTGGTGGTTCCAGTAGAAGTCTCGCGTGAGAAGGGAGTACGTCTTCTCACGTCCTGGATGTCCCGCCGTGGGGACATCGTGATATAGTGATACTCGTACACGATCCTGCTGCGCAGGTCAGGATCATTCGGCACGACAATGCGCTCCGCATTGTCGTCTACAGCGCTGTAAAGCAGTAGACCGTCGTGCACACGATACCGGTGTGCACTTGCTCGTAGACGAGGGCCAACTTCCGACGTGCTTTGTCGGAAGGAGCTGAGAGGAACTCGATCAGCTGCTTCGCGTCTGCGTCATGCGCATACGCGGCTGTCACCTCGTCCATCAAGGACGACGACGGTGTGTAGGTCCGAACGACATCAATCCGGTTGATGTCGGCTGTCTTGACAGCATAGTCCCTTCGTCGCGACAACGCGTCCGCGACGACATTCAACCTTCCGGGTTTGTACTCGACCCGGAAGTTGTAGTCCGCGAAGAAGGACAACCATCTCGCCATTCGTTGCGAGATGTGCGG